CTCTGCATCCCTTTGTCACCAGGGATGTTTTGGTGGAAACATATGAAGTAAGAATCAGAACTTACCTGGCTGGGCCTTTCACTCACAGCTGGGCTGTCTCTGCTCCACTTGGTGGTTTTAGTCTGCAAAGACAAAAGCCGTGAGAGAGCAGGTGATTACATGTGCGAGGACAGTAGGTGGGCAGTAGGATAGTGAGCTGGCTGAGAACCTGGGTGTGGCCTCAGACCTTCTGGATTTGAAAATCTGCTCTGCCACTTTATTTATTGAACGACTTCAGTTTCTTCATGTTATGACAGCAGGCCACTCTTCTTGCCTCATGGGGTTCTCCCAGGAGTCAGTGACACACATGCAAAATGCCCTCAGCTAGAGTTTGCACAGAGAAAGTGCTCAACAAGTGTTTGTGTCATGTCACTGGCCTTTGCTGTCTCCTGCTCCAGCCTCCTTTGTAAAGATGGTAATATGAGATGCAGGAAAGTAATGCTACCTCCCAAAGTTACTATCTGTGTAGCCTTGAGCAAGTTACTTAACCTCTCTGGGCTTTAGTTCTTTTATTTATTAATTAGGGATAACAAAATCTATCTTAGTGGGCTGCTCTGACAAATAACTAAGCTATATGAAATGATTATTTATTAGCTCCCCTTTCTTCTCTTTTCTCCCTTTGCCCCTGTTTTCTTGCTCAAGGTCACAGAATTCATTCATGTCTCTATTAGCTGGTTCTTGACCAGAAACTAGCTCTCTGGGGCCTGTTCCTGTCTCTTCCCACCACATTGCGACATCCTTACCTGTGGGTGGCAAAGTCAATGGGTTTCCTCTCTAATAAATCTATGGGACTTGTTTTCCTTTGAGAAGTATTATGGAAGGGAAATGTAAATAGGTTAAAATCAGCTTGTGGGGGACACACTCATAGCGGGTCTAAGAAAGGAAAAACTCTTTGGGTCACTTCCTAATCGACGGGAAGGCAACAGCATGTGTGCCGTGGGGATGAGGAGCAGAGCTGTCCAGGGTAAAGTTGTTCCCTCCCTGATCTTCTTAAAGGAGAGCGTGCCCGTGTCCAGTTACCAGCAGGCAGGGATTCCCGTGGACTTGAAGAGGAAGATTGCTCGGCTGGGGATCGACATGCTCCTGAAGATGGTGAGCTCATGGGCTTGGAGAGGGTGCTCAGGCCCAGCATGTGGCCCAATTGCATGTGGGAAATTGTGGGGACACTGCTCAGCTACACTGGGTGGAGGGCAAGCCCAGTGTAGAGTCTGTTTTAAAAACAGCTCAGCCTACCAAGATAGCCATTCATTCTATAGCTTTGTTAAGCACTTTCTCAGTGGCTTGCGCTCTGTTGCCGAGCAAGGTGCTATGGGAAGGGTGGGGAACAAGACACAGGCCCAAGACCAGGTTGCCTACAAACAGCCTAAGACAACATCGTATAATACATCTACTTCCTTCATTCATTCAGCAAGTATGTATTGAGCATTTGCTATGTGTTAGACAGTGCTGGCTTTATAGCAGTGAGCAAGAGACAGGATTACAATGTTCACAGAATTACCGTTTAGTGGAAAGACTGTCCATGAATAAGTAAATTATATACAGGGTAGGTACAGGCACCAAGGGGGCATTTAGGAGGGGCCTGACCTAGCCCAGGGATTTATTCAGGAAGTGGCTTCAGATCAGCTGGCATGTGAGGGAAGCCTAGCTGTCACCTATGAGGGGACGGCCTGACAATGATTAAATGAGTTGGCACTCAGAAAGGGACATAGTGAACCCTAAGCAATGTTAGCTATCAGCATCATTAGTAGTAATTGTGGCAACCCAGCATTGCTGGCAGCTCACATGCAGGAGCAAAGAAAGAAGATACAGATACTTGTTGAGGGTCTGAGGTCTTCCTGGTGGTTGGCACAGAGTGTTTGAGGGATGGATGGCAGGGTCTAGGCTAGATAGGCAGGACGAGTGCCCAGGTCTAGAGGGTACAGAGTTGGGATAAGAAGGAACCAGGTATGTGGTCCGAGAGTGGGAGGAAAGAACTGATAGGACTGAGATGAAGGGGCCGAGGCGAGCAGGATGGTAGTGGGTGCAAGCTGACAGCATGGTGGAAGCTTAAGCGCTCCTGCAGAGAGGGCTCAGGGCTGGGAGCCCTGACTTCACCTTCAGCTCCAGGTCAGCAGCCCCCACCCAAGGGGCTCCTGGAGAAGAGAGGTTGTTGTGGGAGAGCCAGGTTTCCACTTAGTGCAATGGAAGCTCAGTTGACAGAAGTTCCAAGAGGCATTGTGGGTTGAGGGGAGGGTGCAGTAGAGAGTAGCCAGGGTAGAAGCAGCAGTAAGCAGTGCCTTGGAGTGGAAGATTATGGGGGCTTCCAGCTCCTGGGGTCAAGGATAGGGGCATAGGCCCTGAGGGGATGAGCTGACAGCAAGGTGCCAGGCTTGGGTCAGGGTCCCAGGATTTTCACCAGGTAGCAGCCTCCCTATGTCAAGTAAAGCCAGGGTCTGGACTAAGGAGGGTCACTATGGCCTGCATCCAGGAGGAGGTGCTCTGTTGGGCCAGGAGGAGTCCGCTGAGAGCCCCTCTGAAGCAACTGCTCTGTGCCTCTGCCCTGGGCTCTCCTTTTTCCTCTCTAGGATTGCTAGTGGTTTCTCTGACCACTGAGTGGTTTCTCTCTTTCATGGGAGGCAGATTTTTGTTCCCCAAAGTCACACCTGACTTCTGTCTATCATAGTTCCTGGGGCTTTCTTTCCTGCTTAGTAGTTTCAAAGCCATTTCTCCTTGTCTACTTGATTCTCTGCCAGTAGGTGGTGGTTAGTATTGCTATTACATGTCACTGTGTGGGCAAATGGAGGTAATGGAGGGGAAGCCTGAGTTATGAAATATTTGAAAGAAGAGAAGTTCCATGAAAAATTTTTGTTTGTTTGTTAATCCTCACCCGAGGATATTTTTCCATTGTTTTTTAGGGAGAGTGGAAGAGAGAGGGAAAGACAGAGAGAAACATCGATGTGAGAGAAACACATTAATTGGTTGTTTCCTGCAGGAGCCGACCCAGGGCTCGGCCGGGGAGGAGCCTGCAACCAAGTTACTAGTACCTGCCTTTGACCTTGACTAGAATCAAACCATCGACCCTTTGGCCCGTAGGCCAATGCTCTATCAACTGAGCCAAACCGGCTAGGCGGAAGTTCCATGAATTTTAAGAGCAGAGAGGTTTGGGGAAAATCTTTAAACAATAAGTAGATTATTTTTTTTATTATTTTTTAAAAAATAAATTTATTTTTTTACTGATTTTATTTATTATTTTTGTAAAATATTTTTTTATTGATTTCAGAGAGGAAGGGAGAGGGAGAGAGAGATAGAAACATCAATGATGAGAGAGAATCATTGATTGGCTGCCTCCTGCATGCACCCTAGTGGGGATCAAGCCTGCAACCCGGGCATGTGCCCTTGACTGGAATGGAACCCAGGACCATTCAATCCACAGGCCATCGCTCTATCCACTGAGCAAAACCAGCTAGGGCTTTTTTACTGATTTTAGAGATGGGGAATGGAGAGAAAGGAGCGGGGAGGGGGAGAGAGAGAAACAATGTATGAGAGAAACATTGATTGGTTGCCTCCAGTACCCATTCCCACCAGGGATTGACCTGCAACCTTTCATGTTTCCTATAATATTTTTTAATGCTCTTTACTTTGAAAATAACTTTTCTCTTGAAAACATCAACCTGTCCTGTCCCTATACAAATTCTGAACTGATGTCATCAGACAATGAATTAGTTTATCAAACGCACACTTCTCTGCCATGGATCACTGGGAACACACCATCACCCTGGAAGCTTTTTCCTGGTGGTGATGGGGTGGTGAGGGTTGATTTAGCCTTGAATAGTGCTGCTCTCTTTCCAGATATTTGTGGACAACTTTGTCCATGCGGATCTTCACCCTGGGAACATCCTGGTCCAGGGTGCCGATGGTCTTTCCAAGAGCCAAGAGGCACGACTGCAGCAGGCGGATGTTTGTGACACACTGGTGGTGTCCATGACGCCTGCCCGGTGCCCACTGCGCCTGGTGCTCCTGGATGCTGGTATTGTGGCTGAGCTGCGGGCTGCTGATCTGAGGAACTTCCACGCAGTCTTCATGGCCGTAGCAATGGGGCAGGTGAGACCCACTGGGCTCTTGAGAGTTGGGCACAAATCCTTGAAGCTCTTGAGAACTTTAGGGCTCTTCAGCCTTTGTTCTTGTAAATGCCATTTGCCACGGGTGCTCCTAACAGAAGCATCTCTGGTCTTTAGTCAGAAGGTGCTGGTGCCCATGACTGAGGCCAGTTCCAAGCAGCTCATGACTTGGGATGGGAAGAAATGCCTCCTTCCCAAATGCTGTCGTGTAGTCGTGCAGTTTGTGTGGTAGTTTCTCTTCCTTCTTCAGCAAGTGTGCAGTGGGCACTAGGAAGGCCAGCTCCTGCTTAGGAGGCTTCTGAGGGGGCAGAGGCTTGAGCCTGGGCCACAGTGGCAGGTAGGGTGGGGCATGTTCCCCTGCCAGGCTTGGGTGGACAAAGAAGGTCACAGCCTGAGGAGGGAGGTGAAAGGCATTAGCAGTGGGTATTTGGGGAGACCATGGAGGCTTTGGTCAGAAGGTGTCCTGGGCAGAGGAGGAGTGAGAAGGCTGCAGCACAGAGGCGGTGAGGAGGGGATTCTGCTGGGGCCGGAAGGGAGCCCGTGCCGACAGTGTGGCTGGTCCAGCCTGGTGACAGGTCCTGGTGGCTCTGGCTCCGAGGCTAGGCTGGTTGGTCAGCAGTGGCCAAGGGCAAGATAGAAGAACTAGGTGGAAACAACTAGGATATGAAGGAGTGTGGGCAGATCATCTAATTTTGTGCCCTCCCAGCTCTACCAAGTTTCTTTTTTTTGTATCTTCCAGGGCCGAAGAGTGGCTGAGCTCATCCTGCATCACGCTCGGGCCAGTGAGTGCAAGGACGTGGAGCGATTCAAGGCTGAGATGGCCGCGCTAGTAACGCAGGCCAGGAAGAACACTATCACCCTGGAAAAGGTGAGCAGGCCACAGAGGGGCAGGGGCCTGAGTACTGCCCTTGCCCTTGGCGAGAACAAACCCCAAAGTGAAGGGAGATCTTTTAATGGGGAGAAGTCTAGAGGGGGTTTGAGTTCTAAGACAGATAAAGAACACCTGCCCACATCTCCCAGATGTGAGGAGGCCCACTGGAATCTCTGACTTTCAAGAGTGGTTCCTTGACCAGGTTCCTAGGGTGCCTTCTGGGGCGTGACATACATAGTGTTGCACCCCGGCTTGTCTGGGGTGTAGCTGTTATGCCGCTTCTTCTGTATCTCAAGCTCAGCTGAGCTTGAGGGAGGGATGACGCTCTCTGAGTGGCCAAAAGACATACCTAATGTTCACCACCTTTATTTAGACTTGAGTTCAATTTGTATTTTACACTCAGTTCTAGCAAAACTGAGCGTTTCCTCAAGTTCATGGCTACATTAGCAGGATTGAGTCAGAGCTCAGAACAAGCAGCAGCTGGCACCCAGGCACTGCTGATCTCCTTATTCAGATGTGGTGTGTGTGTGCTGGTGGACACACACTGGGTGAGCCGGGCCTCCAGGCCTCTTCCTGGAAGGAGCCTTTGAACTCAGGCTCCTCATACTCGAGATGGGAGCTGGGCTCGTGCATGTGCAGTCCTTCTGGAATTAGAGTCTCTTTGTACTCACTGGTATGTGTTTGTGTGTGATGGGAGGGACGAGGTGTTGGGGGAGGACGGGACAGGGGCCTGGGAGAGAAGTAGTTGGGGAGGTGTGGGAGGGTGGGTTGGCACTCTCTGCAGTCAATTTTATTATCTTTTCCAGCTCCAAGTTTCCAGCCTTCTCTCGAATGTCTTTAAGTTACTGATGACTCACAAGGTGAGGCCCCTGGCAGAGCTGAGCCTCTCTGCTCCAGCCAGGCTGGAGGGGAGGTCTCTGGGGAAGCTGATGGGTGGCCCCAGGGTCGTGAGAAGTAATCCTCTTATATGAGATCTCGTTTTTTAAAAACATTTTTGGTACCACTTCATTAGCATGAAGAGTGCTGCTTCTGTGTACTAACTAGGTACAGCAGGTTCCCCCTTTGTCACAATGTTGGTCTGTCTCAGTAAGGCTTAGCTGTCCAAGTATCTGTGATACTGAGCTGCAGAAAAATGGATTCACAGATGTAAACACCATCTAATGAAAGCTGTCACGCCCTTCCCCTCCTCAGTGCACATGAATGATGTGTGGTACTCATCTAAGTCATACTTATACAGCTTTCCTGAGCAGTGTAACACCCTGAGGCTGGACCGGCCCAAGAGGAGGTGCCTCCTGCCCCTGTTCCTTGGAGGGACACGGCCTCACAGTTCTCCACCTTGGCCTTCGTCTCCTTGAAATGGAGTGTGGTCTTGGGTTATTCTTCAAAGTAAAACTGTCAGCCAAGGGTCTAAGGAGTTGAGGGCAGGGAAGATTCTTGTCTGAAGATGGCCTTTCCCATTGCTTCTCTTGAGGTTCTGCAATCCGATAGTGAAATACTGCATTTGGCAAGGATCATAACATAGAATTAAGAGTCAGAAAGGTGGCTGGTCAGAAGAATGATCCTTATTTAGATTTACAGTTTCTGGTATATCGCTGAGATACTAATTTTATTATTTTTAAGTCATGCACACACACACACACACACACACACACACACACACACCCCTAGAAAAGAACATACCACATCCCCCAGATTTTTCCTTAGTAATACTAGTGGACGGGAGGTTGGGTGAGTAGATGAGATGGTGGGTAAAATGATGGGGTAGGGAAAAGAGGGTCAGGTAGACAGTAAAATCACATGGGCAGGTACCGGAGGCTGAGAGCACACAGCTACATGGTTATCCAGACTCTATATATTAATGGACTTTGGGAAGAACCACTTATTTTCTCTTTCAGGTAAAGCTTGAGAGCAACTTCGCCTCCATTGTGTTTGCCATCATGGTGCTCGAGGGGCTTGGTCGCTCATTGGACCCCAAACTGGACATCCTGGAGGCAGCCAAGCCCTTCCTGCTGAAAGGGCCAGTGTCTTCCCCCTGACTGGCAGTGGGCATGCTGTAGGCGTGCAGTGGGCCTTCCTCTCGGAACTGAAGACTCCTCCCAACAGCCTCTCCTGGGGCAGCGAGAACACTTACAAATTGTGATGTGTGAAGGGCATGCATTGCTTTTCTCTCTGATTTGGCTTTAGGCATCTGTTTAAATAGCTTTGTGTTACTTGGGGAAGTAAAAGGAGGGAAGGTTCCTATCTATTCAGTTGTAGGAGCTGGGCCTGGTGGGAGACTATTTCAGGGAAAAGGTTCTGTGGAGGAGGACAAATAAATTCGAATTATTTTGTTTTCTTCTTTTTCTCTCTTCTTAACCCTCATCAGGTGGGTCCTCCTGGCCTCTGATAATTAAGTTAGAAAATGTCACAGTATCTTGTAGACCCATGGCTTCTAGTATTTTAATGTACCCTTATTGGTAAAAAGTTGAATATATTTTTGTACACATACATATATAATTTATTTATATATTTTATGCAGGTGATACCACCACTAGCAAATCTGGAGGTGCAATGTACACTTAGGGCAAATTTCACTGTATTTCAAATGACCTTCTTTATACTTTTAAATGTTTTTGCTAACTCCTTGCTAAATTTTATTACAAGGGGAAAAAGGAAAAGCAACAATTAACGTGGCTGATACCGTAGGGACAGGAGCAGATCAGCTCTGCCCTCTTCTCCTGTGCTTGCATATTAGTATTCTGACTGTGCTTCCTCTGAGCAATGTTCAGGCCCTTGTGCATTTGTCTAGGGGTAATTTAGGTTAATATTAGTATGTAGATAATATAATCAGCACAGCCTCTTAACCAGGGCTTGAACCTGCAAGAGCACCCGTGACACTCTAGTAGTGGATTAAGGGGTGGTGGGTACTGCCTGCCCCTCTGTGCTGGGCCCACCCACAGACTGCTCCTTCAAAGTTGACCTGACATGTGGCTGGTCCACATGGACTAAGAAGATCCTAGGGTCAGACTGTAGAGTGGATATTGGTAAAGCTTAAATTTCTTAATTTTCTAAATAAAATAGTATTTTCTCTCTCATCCCAGTGGATTCTCTTGCTCATTTTGGAGACCACTGCTTTAGACAGTGAGTAAAAAGTCAAGCCTCCTGTTCTCTGAAGTCCTGCTCTGGCCACAGGACTAGATTCTTCCACTCTCCTTCTCAAGGATAAAGTTCTTCGTTTCTGTCTTTGAGGGAGCAACTAACGTTTAGTTGGGCAGATTCCTTTGGTGAAGTTTTCCCAGAGGGGTGGAGATGTTATATTTACTTCCCAATCTTGAGGGGAGGGTATCTAACCAGGAAGAGAGGTACTGTGGTGGCTCCAGGAGCTGGGAAAGGGAAGTGGCACTGTTCAGCTTCCTCCTCATAGGCACACCAGTCAGACACACAGCCCCTGTGCCACATACACATAGACGTACACTGTGGGACAAGAGAGGGGGCACACACAGAGCACGTGCTACCCTGAGCCTACACCAGCACAACCGAGCCTTTCCTTATAGCCAATGGATTTAATCAAGCCATCTGTGGTATATATTATTTATCTCTCACTGCATACAAACTACCCCAAAACTTACTGGCTGGAACAACATTTTTTAAAGCATCTATAATAATAAAAGCATAATATGCTAATTAGACTGGACGTCCTTCCTTCCAGACAAAGCCGTGGCAGAAGCAGAGGCGGCAGAGGCCCCCGGCTGCAGCCATGGCATCCACGGGTGGGGGCCTCTAGTGTTGGTGTTGGTGTGTGTGTGTGTGTGTGTGTGTGTGCCTGGTGCACGGATTCATGCACCCGTGGGGCCCCTTGGCCTGGCCTGCACCTTCTCGCAATCCAGGACCCCTCGGGGGATATCAGAGAGCTGGTTCAGCCTGATCCCCACAGGCCAGGCCAAGGGACCCCACCGGTGCACGATCAGGGCCAGGGAGGGAACTTGGGAGGGCTCCAGGGCATGTCTGGCCTGTCTTGCCCACTCCTGATCCGCCGGACCCCAGCAGCAAGCTAACCTACTGGTCGGAGTGTGTGCCCCCTGGTGGTCAGTGCGCATCATAGCAACTGGTTGAACAGTTAAAGACACTTAGCATATTAGGCTTTTATTATATAGGATATATATGCTAGAGGCCTGATGCACAAAATTAGTGCACAGGGGGGTGGGGGTCCCTCAGCCTGGCCTGCACCCTCTCCAATCGGAGACATCCCTCTCACAATCCAGGACCGCTGGCTCCTAACCCCTCCCCTGCCTGCCTGCCTGATCGCCCCTAACCACTCTGCCTGCCTGATCACCCCTAACCTTTTTGCCTGCTTGATCACCCTACCTCTGCCAGCCTGATGCCTCTAACTGCTCTCCCCTGCCAGCTTGATTGCCCCTAAACCCCTCTGCCTGCCAGCCTGATCGCCCCTAACTGCTCTCCCCTGCCAGCCAGATCGCCCCTAACCCCCTCTGCCTGCCAGCCTGATTGCCCCTAACTGCTCTCCTCTACCAGCCTGATTGCCCCTAACTGCCTCTGCCTTGGCCCCCGTCACTGTGGCTTTGTCCAGAAGGATGTCCAGAAGACATCTAGTCTATCCGGTCTAATTAGCATATTACTCTTTTATTAGTATAGATATTTTTTATTAATTTTTAGGGAGGAAGTGAGAGGGAGAGAGAGAAAGATCCATTGATGAGAGAGAAACATCATCGATTTGCTGCTTCTGCATGCCCCCTACTGGGGATCAAGCCCACAACACAGGCATGTGCCTTGACTGGGAATTGAACTGTGACCTCCTGGTTCATGGGTCAGCGCTCAACCACTGAGCCACACTGGCCAGGCAGAACATTTATTACCTCACAGTGTCCAAAATCTGGGTACAGCTTAGTGCATCTTCTGCTCAGGGTCTTGCCCAAACATGTTTTTTAATCCTCACCTGTGGATATGATTTCTAGAGAGAGTGGGAGGAAAGAGGGGGGAAGAGAGAGAGAAAAACATTGACGTGAGAGAAGCACATGGATTGGCTGCCTCCCCCATGCACCCACCCCTACCAGGGCTGGGAAACCTTGACCAGGAATCTCACCTGCTACCCTTTGGTCAGCAGGCCGATGCTCTAACCACTGAGCAACTGGCCAGGGCTGTACAGACATTTTGAGGCTCTACTATGGTGGGTCTGATACCATGCTCAATTGTGTGATTGTTGGCATGACTCATTTCCTTGTGGGCTGTTGGATTATGGCCTCAGTTTCTTAGGTGTAAGTATTTCTCTTTTCTGCAGCCAGCGAGGCTAGAGAATGGTCTGGTTCCTGAGTAGGGGCTGCTGGGGATTGAGGGATTGAGAAAATGAAAGAAAGAGACAGATACAGAGATGGAAGGAAAAAGCTGGGGCCGGGTGTGACCATGTCCTCTGATGGAGAGACAGGGACCCAGAGCCAATACAGCATGTTTACTTTATACAGCAAAAACCAGTTTTACTAAAGGTCAAGACAAAGGAGATTATGTGCATTCTTGGGTAGGCCTGAGTAGTACTCATTCCTAGTGCTTGGCTGGATTTAGATAACGAAACCCACCCCCTGGCCCCTGGGCTGAAGGTCAAGCTGACAACACTCCTGCCTCTGGAAAGGTGTGTTTCCAGGATGTGGCTCTGCCAACGCCACTGGATTGAGTTGACAGTAATTAAAGAAATGCTCATGTGCCTTCCCAGGCTCTCTACACTCAGGAGCCATTACAAAATGAACACAGGCTGTGTTAAAGAGGTTAAATGGTTAATGGGTGTGCTTTAATATACGTAATTAGCTGATTTTTAAAACAAGAATTTTTAATGCACTAAAGTCATCTTTTTAAGGAGAAAGGCTACTTTACTGGGTATAAGTTGATAAAGTGGCAGCATGCTGTTTCCCTGAAGAGAAATCATAGCTCCATCTCCTCTAAAGTATTTCAGGTTTGTTTCAGTGTGACCAAAACCACTGGAAAGATGTTTCTTTCCAAGACACACAAGGAAAGTGAGATCAAGCAAGGCTTTAAGAGTAGGAAATTAAATAAACATGAAGTTTTGCGAACAGATATTTTTCCTCATCCCTTTGCTTTGTTTTCCAGATATAGAATAGGTTCTTGATTTGGGATTAGATGCTCATTGTGGGCCATAAAAAACAACAACAATTCTTTATTATTTAAAGTATTACATATATCTTCTTCTTTCCCCCATAGACTCCCTCCTGCAGGCCCTAGGACCTCAGAGATGTGGGCCATTTAGAGTCTGTTCTTACAGTCTGTCAAAATTTGGGAATTTGATTTGCATTTAGAAGGTGAGAGCTCAGGGCCAGGGGTTGGCATTCCTTCCCTCGCCCTCAATTTTTTATTTTTAAAAATATCTTTTCACTGATTTCAGAGAGAAAGGAGAGAGATGATCGAGCCCACAATCCAGGTATAAGTCCTGACCGGGAATTGAACCTCCCCCTGGTTCATAGGTTGATACTCATCTACTGAGCCATGCCAGCTGGGCTCTCTCACCTAAAATGCATCCATTCAAATGGGGTGCTCATCTTAGAACCCAAAAGAGGGCCATTGTGTAATCTGCAAAAGGCAGTAAGAGATATTTGCCCTTGCCGAAACTGGTTTGGCTCAGTGGATAGAGCGTCGGCCTGTGGACTGAAGGGTCCCGGGTTCGATTCCAGTCAAGGGCATGTGCCTGGGTTGCAGGCACATCCCCAGTGGGGGATGTGCAGGAGGTGGCTGATTGATGTTTCTCTCTCATCGATGTTTCTGACTCTCTGTCTCTCTCCCTTCCTCTCTGTAAAAAATCAATAAAATATATTAAAAAAAAAAAAAAAGAGATATTTGCCCTTGTAGCTCTCAGAGCATGTCTGCAAGACAAATGTGTCATTGCTACAGTCAGCAGTTTATTGATTGGAACCATAAAATGGTTTTTATAGTAAAAAAATCATAATTTGTGATGTAAAATATTAAAGCTCCAAATGGCTACAGATCAATACTGCTTTAAATACAAGCAAGCATTGAAGTTAAAACTTTTTGTTTCAAAATTCAGCAAGAAAGATGGGGAGCCCTGACCGGTTTGGCTCAGTGGATAGAGTATTGGCTTATGAACTGAAGGGTGCCCTGGTCGAGGGCACATGCCTGGGTTGCAGGCTCGATTCCCCAGTGGGGGGCATGCAGGAGGTAGCCGATAAATGATTCTCTCTCATCATTGATGTTTCCAACTCTTCCTCTCCCTTCCTCTCTGAAATAAATAAAAATATATTTTAAAAATAAATTAAAAAAAATAAACACTCTTACCAAAAACAAACAAACAAAAAAACGATGGAGAAGGTGAATGAATTTTTGTTACCCTGAACCTGAATCAAGCTTTTGCTACCAGGAAAAGAAGGTACAATAAAGGAATAAAAATTCCCTAAGTACATACTGTGGGCCAGTCACTATCTATGGATTCTTAAATGACTCAAATTAAGATGAGGGGCACTGACGTTCAGAAAAATAAAGTGAGTTGTCCGAATTTCTAGAGCTAGTAATTGGCAGAGCTGAGGTCTGAACTCCAGATCTTCACTCCCAAGTTCTCTGCTCTTTTTTGTTAAAGCTGTGCTGTTTTTGTGGCTTTGGAATCATAGCATTGTTCTTTGCTGGGAGCTGTATGGCTTGGGCAGCCAGTTCTCTAGGAAGATAGCAAAATTTCTATGTTAGTGTTTTGTAGCTATCACCAGAAAGGGTAAGTGGCCAATGGTAGTTCAGACAAAGGCAGACTGTTGCATATCAAGTGGAAAGTCCTCATCCAGAGAATAGTGGATTCTTTCCTCTAATTTACATACTAAGAGGGCAGGAGAACAGGGCCAGAGGGTAAATCAGTAAGACTGTTCTCAAGGGCCTGGGGCAGCTCAGCAATCTTAAGCTTTATGTGGGCCACACTCCAGGGACAGGTTTCTTGTTGGCCCCTATCTTGGCACAGGAGAGACATCAGTTATATTCAATTACCCTCACTTTTCTAAATTCAGCTCTACATTTCTCTCCATAAGTATCCCATTTTTCATGCTTGTGACTATAAATGTGAGATCTTTGGTGTTCAGCAAGGGTCCCATTTCAAAATTGAAATTGCCAAGGTTAGGCTGGCAGACTAAGTTTTTTAATTTAATCAAACCTGGAGGTGCTTAGGAAAACTGAAGTCTATAAATGGAGACCGTAAGAATTTGGGGAGGGGCGTTGAGCGACACTAGGATTTTGTAAAAGGCAATATGCAGAGACAAAAGACAAGAATCCAGGACTGCCTCAGGGTCACGGAAGTAGGAGCATAACTGTAGGCTGCTAAGGTGCGGACTCCTTGGCACTACTCCAGACTTAACCAGAGCACGTGCGCTCCTCGGGTGACTGATGCCACCAGTCCGTCCATGTCCTGATATTTGGGAACCACTGTCTGCCGGGTGGTAAAGTTCAAGTTTGCAGAACAACAATAAAACAAGGAAGACTTAAACATGTTGCTGTGAGCCTCTTGCAGGAGAGAGTAAAAAACACTAGCTTTGGGAAGGACCACTGGTTCACAAAGGATTTGACAACTGAAAGGAAGGCAGCTAATTCAGGAGGAGCGCCGAGGAGCAGGTCCAGGTTGGGAAAATGCCATGTAGATCAGCACCGGTGGGGAGGCGCGAGTTCCGACTCGGTGTTAGTTTGCCAGCGCGCGCGAAACAACGTGCTCCCAAAGCCGGGTGCCCAGGCCGGGCTCCTGGGCGCCCTCACCTCCCTCCGCGCGGCCTCGCATGCCAGTCCCCGAGGAAGCGCGCGGCTCCGCCCAGCCACGTCCCAGCCGTCACTTAGCAACGCCTAGGGTCGCCCTCACTCGCCTCCTCACCCTCTGGACCACAGCACGCCGAGTCCCTCCAGGCGCGCAGCACGCCACAGCGAAGAGACCGAGATGCTAACTTGAGACCAAAACCTTGGCTTCCCTCCCGCTGACATCATCCGGAAGGAGATGGGCGGGGCGACGCCGCTGACGTTCAGGGGCGGGGCGCTGGGAGGAAGTGACGTGACGCAGCGGTGCGGCCTCCCCGCGGTGGTGCGGCCTCACGGCGGCTGTCTGGACTCGGGCTGGCATGTCGGCTCTGACGCGGCTGGCGCCTTTCGCTCGCGGCGGAGGCAGCCTCTTCAGAGGCCTCCGCGCGCGGGAGGCTGGAAGCAGAGTCCGTCAGTGAGTGTCGGTCGGGGGTGGGATCTTGGCCTGTTTCTAACAGAAAGTGCCGGTTTTCGGGACGTTCTCACCTTGACACTGGGCGCCTGGGACGGACCCACCGCGAGGCATGCTGGGACTTGTAGTCGGCTGCGCCAAGGCCAGGGGGAGTTGTGACAGCGGGGTGGGGGGTGAGGGGTACGCAGGGACACTACCCTGCACCAGGGGGATCCTGCGCTCGGGATGTTCACAGTTGGATGTGGACACAAGTTGAAGCTCACCTGGAAGCTAGAGCAGGAGTTGGGGAAGGGAGGTCGGTCCAGGCCGCGGAAACAACCTCTACGGTGTGTGCATTTGAGGGGTCAAGGGCAGGAGTGAGGCTGGAGACTTGGGGCATAGGGAGGGAACAGTAGAGGACCCTGATGGCCGGCTGAATAATTTAAAACAGGCGACAGCCGTCGTTGAGCGGCTTCAGTCCGATGTCTTGTGGCCAGATTATAATTCTGAAAAATTATAATCCCACTCAGGCTGCAGGTTGAGGAATGACTTCTCTAAGGCACAGGAGTGTGGGCGGTCACTCGGAGTGTGGGAAGGTGGGAGAAGGGAGACCCAAAAGTAGATGCTTGGGCAATTCAGAATTTTCTTATTTTTTTAAAAAAAACATCTATTTTTCAGAGCAGTTTTCAATTCATGGCAAATTTGAGCGGGAGGTACAGAAATTTGCCATATACCCTCCTACCCCCACGCATGCATTACCTCCTCCATTGTCAGCATCACTCATCAGAGTGGTACATTGGTTACAATTTGATAAACCTACGTTGACACAGCATTGCCACCCAAAGTCCATATTTTACGTTAGGGTTTACTCTTGCAACACTAGAATTTAAGAGAGTGAGCAAAAGAGTCATCTGGTGAGGTAGGTAGCCTAAGAAACTGACTGGAGAGCATGGCGCTGGCAGGACATACCTACCAAGGGAGGGCACATCTACCAAAAACAAGCTGGTAGTGCAGAGAGGAGAGATTCAGTAAGAGCAGGACTGAAAATAGTACCTTGGATTTTTCCAGGTAGTGTTTGGAGACCCCTTAGACCAGCGGTTCTCACCCTGTGGGTCGCGACCCCTTTGGGGGTCGAACGATCCTTTCACAGGGCTTGCCTAAGACCATTAGAAAACATATATATAATTATATATTGTTTTTGTGATTAATCACTGCTTTAATTATGTTCAATTTGTAACAATGAAAATATATCCTGCATATCAGGTATTTACATTATGATTCATAACAGTAGCAAAATTACAGTTATGAAGTAGCAACGAAAATAATTTTATGGTTGGGGGTCACCACAACATGAGGAACTGTATTAAAGGGTCACGACATTAGGAAGGTTGAGAACCACTGCCTTAGACCATCGTTTACACTTTACCAAGAGGCAATGCAGGATAGTGCCTGCCACATTAGCTGCATGACCTTGGAAGTTTCTTGATCTCTTCATCCCTCAGCTTTCTCACCTGTATAATGGGGATAATAATGTTAACTTCTAAGGAATCAAATGAATTAGAATTCCTGAAGTGTTTTAGGACAGTTACTTGTGCATTGTAAGCACCATGCAAGTATTATTATTCACCTGTTGTTGTGAGGGACCTGAGACTCAGAAATTAAAGGACTGACTTGCCTAAAGTTACAGATTGTTAAGGACTAGAGGCCCAGTGCACAAAATTCGTGCACGGGTATGGTCCTTAGCAGCTGCTGGCTGCTGGCCAGGGCCTTCCTTCGTTCCACGCCATGCCCTGGTGTTCAGAGCATGTTATAACGAGCGATCGAACGCCTGGTCTGTTGAACTCCTGAGAGGACACTTTACATATTAGGCTTTTATATAGATAGATATAGATATGGAGCTGGGACAGGTGTGAGGTGGGAAGAAAGAAAAGGCCTAGGTGTGACCTGAGCACAGACAACAATGAATAACTACCAAGCGGTAGCCCTGAGGGAGACTGGAGGGTGCTCCTCTTAAAAAAAGAAAATACTTTTATTGATTTCATAGAGGAAGGGAGAGGGAGAGAGAGATAGAAACAGCAGTGATAAGAGAGAATCATTGATTGGCTGCCTCCTGCACGCCCTACACTGTGGATTGAGCCCACCACCCGGGCATGTGTCCTGATGGGGAATCAAACTGTGACCTTCTGGTTCATAGGTCAACACTCAACCACTGAGCCATGCCAGCTGGGCTAGGGGGTGCTCCTCTTCACTGAGGTCTTGGTTCTTCCACAACGCACACTGATTTCACAGTGTGAGTGACCATTAAGTGAATAAATATTTATGGAGTGTCTTCTGGATTCCAGGATCCTTTCTAGGTGCTGGGGATAGAGCATAATTCAGGAAAGAGAATGGAGCTCCCATTATGAAGAGAGGACACAAACAAGTAGAAAAGAAAGAACACACTTAGGTACTACTAAGTGGTGTGAAGAAAATAGAGGGGGATTAATCTACAGTGTCCAGGATGAGTTACTGGATGGGTTACTGTATGCAGGATGATGTGGGGAATGCATGCCTGAGAGTTTGACTTGAAGTAGGTCCTGAGTGAGAAGTCAGCCATGCTAACATGCCAGAAAGGACCTCTCCACAAAGGCTCTGTGTGCTGCTGATGGCCTGCAGGCCCGTCAGGCTGGAGTGGGGGGAGCAGAGGGAAGGGTGGTAGAGGTGGGATCAGAGAGATTAGGGAGGGCTTTATAGATGACAAAGGCAAATTTGATGGGAGGCCATCGAGGCTTTTAAACCTCAAAGTTATATGATCTGGTTTTTGTTTGTTCTTTTAAAAATATATTTCTATTGACTTTAGAGAGGAAGGGAGAGGGAGAGAGAGACAGAAAAATCAATGATGAGAGAGAATCATTGATAGGCTACCTCCTGCACAACCCACACTGGGGATCGAGCCCACAACCAGGCCTGTGCCCTGACTGGGAATTGAACCTGCCACCTCCTGGTTCATAGGCTTAACCACTGACACTCAACCATCAGGCCACACCAGTTCAGGTTGGTTTATGTTTTAAAATGTAACTTTCACAGAGAATTATGGTGCATTTTTGTGTTTAAACTTGATACTTAATCCTGGTTTGGGACACCCATTTATTTCAGATCATAGTTAAAACACTATGAGACTCTAGCAACAGTGAAATGTGGAGAGTGGGTTTGAACTATAATTCTCAAATCTTATTTAATGAGTTTAACTGCTGGGCCTTATAACTAGACTAGAGGCTTGGTGCACAAAATTCTTGCATGGGTAGGGTCCCTAGGCCTGGCTGGTGATCAGGGCTGATCTGTGGGGTGACCAGTGGGGCAATCGGGAGGCCCCTGCTGGCACCTGCCTTGGCTGGCCTGGCGCCACCTGCTCACCGGCCCCACCCCCTGCTGTTGCTGCCTGTCGCCTCCCTCTGCGGGGCGATCAGGGGGGTCCCCGCTGGCACCCACCTTGGCTGGCCTGGGGCCTGCAGGCTGGGGGCAGCTCCTACACTGAGTGTCTGCCCCCTGGTGGTCAGCACACGTCATAGCGACTGGTCGTTACTCCCGTCGTTCTGCAGTTCGGTCAATTTGCATATTAGGCTTTTATTATATAGGATAGTATCTAAACCTATCAAAGAGGAAGCCTATTGTTACAATGTCCTCTTTCCCATAAATATTGCAGTGGAGCCGAGGACATAATTTACTTTTGAAATAGATGGCTAAATTGATTTGCTTATTTGTTTTCTTTGGATAAAGCTAGTGACTGCTTAACTACTATAGGTTCACAATCCTTTAACCAAAACTCTTGGGGCCAGTAACTCATTATCAACACATTCATATTTCTGGTGCAAGATACAGGAATATTCACTAAAGGAAAATCATCATTAGTCTCTTGTCAGTTCAGGCCGCTGTTTGTTGCTTAACAAATTTAAAGTGAGCTTATGAAAAATGAGTCTTTTGAGGGCTTGTGGAGCTCTATCATTCTGTATTTCATGGAGGAGAGGAGAAATGTTAGCTTCAGTTTCTGGATGGAACTCAGGGTTTTGGATGACTGAATACTTTGAAGATGTAGCAAGTTGCCTAACATTTTCTTTTTGGCTCGTAGTGCTGGTGGCGGTGTGCACATTGAGCCCAGGTACAGAGAGTTTCCCCAGCTCACCAGGTCCCAGGTGATCAAGGGTGAGTTCTTCAGTGCAACCATGTGGTTCTGGATTCTCTGGCGCTTTTGGCATGATTCGGATGCTGTCCTGGTAAGTGCAGAATATTCTCCTTTCTGTGGGTGGGAGGAGGGAAGAAATAGTAACTTAGCTTGTTCCCCCCCCCGCCGTGTGTAGACTATTTTTCTAGCCATGATTTTGCTTTTTGCTTCCTTGGTTTTAGTTACCTGGGACACCTGTGATCTGAAAATATTTAATGAAAAATTCCAGAAATAAACAATTTATAAATTTTAAATTGTGTGCCATTCTGAGTAGCATGATAAAATCTTGTGCTGTCCTGCTCTGTCCTGCCTGGGATGTGAACCGGACCTTTGTCTGGCATTTCCACGCTGTATACACCACCTGCCAGCTAGTCGCTTAGTAGCTGTCTCAGTTATCAGATTGAGTCGATTGTGGTAACGCAGTGCTTGTGTACAAGTCTCACCCTTATTTTACTTGATAATGGCCCCAAAGCACATGTGGACATGCCACATGTAAAGTGCTTCCTTTAAGGGCAAAGGCATGTATGTTAAGGAAAATACAGTCTGTGCCTTGGGTTCGGTACCATCCATGGTTTCAGGCATCCACTGGGGGTACTAGAACGTATCCCCTGTGGATAAGGGGGGCTACTGTACATCCCTTCCCCGTATTGTCCTGTGTGTATGCAGTAATTTTGTTAATGAAACGTGTCTCTCTCCTTTTGTACTAAAGGGTGCACAGGTAGATAGTCCATGTTTTATGTTTTGTGTTAGTTTGCCATATTTGGAGGGACACTAGAAACTAGTTCTTTTACCTTGTGAACTAAGGATTCATCAGGTTAAGTTTCACACTTAAAATCTTTAAATGATGAATGTTATCTAGTCTGTCTGGAGGCCCACGGCAACCAAATTGGGGTGGGATAGATGTGGGCTAATTTGTTTTGAGGAGGGAAGTTTTTACTTGGCATCTTATTAGCCTCAACTGAACTTTTATCGCATTTGCACCGACCCTGTTCTCTAGGAAATGAATGAAGCCTTTGAGCCACTGAAATCTGTGCTTGTTGATCCAGAATACTTTGAATTTTAGTCAATTTGGTTTTGTTTTTAGGGTCAGAAAAAAATGTTAAATTATGCACAAGTTTTAGAGGCATCAGGTGGATTAGTATCCCATTTCTCCGAGAACTTCTCTGTGCCCTTGTCGCCCAGTAAGGGAGCTGCCTAGTGTCCACACACCAGCAGCACGTAGACACCTGTCTCATTGTGGGTCAGCTGCCAGGAGGATATGTGGCTGTTTGGTGTGAGACGATGGTGCATCCAGATGCCCCCTAGATCGGGATCGAAGACGAACAAGTCCACCCGAGGCTCCCAGATCTCCCAGCAGGAATGACAGGACAGTTTGAGACATCCATTATGTTTTGCCAGGGCTTCAAGTCATTGTTGAGATGTGGGGTATCCTTGAAATCTGTTGTCTCCATTCCTACTGCTCTTCATCACAAACACATACTCAAACTCTGGCTCAGGCTGGTAGCTTCAAAATGGGCAGGCTTTTACAATTCAGCTCACATGGAACAATATGAAGAACAGTTGGACCATCGAGTAAAGTAGAATTCCCTCCTGTGGCATGTCAAGGGTGTGTATGTTATAGCCTTATATTTTCCTTATATATTTTTCCTTTAAATATTTTTTTTTTAAATTAATTGTGTGGAGTATAAATTCTTGACTTTTTTTCTTTTTTTTTAATGATGTCACCAGGGTCACTTTCCATATCCAGATCCTTCCCAATGGACGGATGAAGAATTGGGTATCCTTCCAGATGATGAAGACTGAAAGTGTAAACTAAACTCTTTACAAGTAGGTAAAATTTCTATTTTTTGAAAGTTATATTTACTTTTTTTTATATAAAGAAAGAAGAGCTCATTCTTTTTTAAAAAAAAAACATTTTTTAGTGATTTCAGAGAGAGAGGGAGATGGAGAGAGATAGAAACATCATTGAGGGAGAACCATTGATTGGCTGCCTCCAGCACACCCCCAACTGGGGATCAAGCTCACAACCCAGGAATGTGTCCTGACTGGGAATTGAACTGGCGACCACTCAGTGCATGGGATGATGCTCAACCAGCTGAGCCACATCAGCCAGGGCTCATGTGTCTGATTTCTGAATTTAGTATTTTCACATTTGCTGTCCCCTGTGCTCCCGCCATCTCTCACCCTAATTTGGTTTCATCTTCATTTTCATTGTATATTTTAAAAATTTATTTTTTCCTAAGTTATGTTACAAATTAGGGTCCCACTTAGCCATCAAAGGCTTTTAAGTACCAAGTCTACACAGGGATTACAGGGTGGACAAGACAGATAGGAGCTTACAGTGCATGTTTATAGTTGCAAAACTACTACCGTCTTCTACGTTTAGCACTTACATGGAAAGTTCCAGCATAGGGGAATGTTATGATATGGATGTGCATGGAAATGAACTCTTTAAATAGTAAAGGGTTACGACCCTTTCATTTTCCAGATCAGGACATCAGTCAGTTTCCCTTCTTTCATAAGGAAGGTAGCAGGAGAAGTTCCTTTCTCTACAACCCCTTGGGGGTTAAGACATTCTTATTTAACGGTTTAAATCATTGTACAGTTTAATTGCCATCATTCAGAACGCCTTGGAAATTTTTAAAAATATATATATTTTATTGATTTTTTACAGAGAGGAAGGGAGAGGGATAGAGAGTTAGAAACATCGATGAGAGAGAAACATCGATTAGCTGCCTCCTGCACACCTCCTAACTGGGGATGTGCCCGTAACCAAGGTACATGCCCTTGACTGGAATCGAACCTGGGACCTTTGAGTCCGCAGGCCAATGCTCTATCCACTGAGCCAAACCAGTTAGGGCTGGAAATTGTTTTAAAGGATAGGAAGCATTAAAAGATAGTTGAGTGTTTCCATTAAATTGTATTATTAGTATTGCCTTTTTAATTAGAAGTAGCTTATTGGCATGAAAATTACAGCAGTTTTTGGATATGCAGGGCCGAGGGGGATGGCAAAAATGTCTCCAAAAGGCAGGTAATTAAGCTGTTTTATAGTTTGTATGTCTCTGGGTTTGTTATGGACAGTGAGAGGTCCCAGGCCCTCTGCTTCCTGTGTTAAAGTGTCTGACAGCACTAACCCCTTCCTATCCTCTTACAGATTTCCCAATATTCCCACACTGTCATTATTGTTTTTTTTTTTTTTTAATATATTTTATTGATTTTTTGTTACAGAGAGGAAGGGAGAGGGATAGTTAGAAACATCGATGAGAGAGAAACATGGATCAGCTGCCTCCTGCACACCTCCCACTGGGGATATGCCCGCAACCAAGGCACATGCCCCTGACCAGAATCGAACCCGGGACCTCTTGGTCCGCAGGCCGACGCTCTATCCACTGAGCCAAACCGGTCAGGCTGTTTTGTTTTAATAACTAGACTGTAAGCCCTTTGCGAGAGCAAGGTGATTTTGCTTCCCTCCTCTACAAGGCGACTCACATGACTGTTGCTCAGTGGATGCTTAAATAATTGAATAAACAGAATTATAGATTTGAGTTAGTGAAAATAAAAGTACTTAAAGCTTTTCCCTTTTGTTTTTCTGCAGGAGCAAGGTCAGAATTTCAAGAGATTGTGAACTTCATATTGTCTATTGAAGTTGTAAATTAAAGTGGTTTGGTCATGAATGAGGAACTGAGTTATGTATGTTTCTGAAAACCATTCTCTGTGGATTATTTCCTGTGCCAACTGCTTACAGGCCCTTTCAGTGGATCCTCTTGGTTATCTCATGGCAGGTAGCCTTGGGTCCATGTGTCAGAGAGGAAATTGAGGCTCGGGATGAAGTAACTCATGTAGCGTCACTCATGATGGGTGGCGATATTACTCAGACCCCATACTTTACAGTGCCATACTGCCTGCCTCCTTATCGAATGTCTGTCATACATATGTTGACAATTAATGTGAAAACTTGCCATTTCTCTGCTGCTGGTGTATTCCCGAGTGTGCAGAGGGTAGCCATCAGGGCAGTCCATTTATTGTGCTTACATATCTCCTGTGGGTTGGGCACTGTTCAGTGGCCATTTGTGGAACTCATAAGACAAACTTCTAATTAGGAACTCTTAGGCTGGAGGAATGGGAAACAAGGGTGAAATGGAAATTTTACTTTTTCTAAAATTTGTTTCAAAGTACTTTCCAACTATAGCATCATAGTTCTGAGAGTAGGTAGGACAACATCTTCCTCTCTCCACAGATAAAAATCTCCAGTATAGAGTGGCTTCATGACTTCCTAGAAGCATTACTATTCATGTATTTCCAACTTAGGTTTTTGACCACCTAAGCACTGGGAATGCAATGCTAAACAAGACAGATAAGAGTCTGTTCACAGGGAGCTTAGATTTTAGGGAGGGAAGATAAGGTTTACTAAGTGCTGTGAAGGAAATAACACTAGGTGATGTGTTAGAGATGGGTGATATTTTGGGTGAATGGGGAAAGCATTTTCTCTTAAACCTGAACTAGTATGAGGAACCAGTTGTGTGAGGGTCTGAGTGGGGAGAGCTGTAGGGACAAGGAACAGCAAGAACCAAAGTCTAGGTTGGGACCAAAGTCTGTGTTTAAGGAACAAAAGATCCAGCGAGGGTTCCGGCAGGTGAGGCGAGGTTGGGATAGGTAAGGTTAATAGGTCATAGTTACAGGTTTAGATTTAGGTGATGCACTGAAAAGCTTCTGGCAGGCCCCGAGCAGGGTGTGTGGGGTTGTGATTTGATGAGCATTCCTCCTCCTTAGGTTTGCACTCCCTCTTTAGTTCTCAGTTGTCAGTGGGCATGACAGTCAAAGTCAAAGCAAATGGCAGCTTCACCCTCCCCCACTCCAGCTCCAGCAGTCCTGAGCCTGTTGTAGGGGGTGCTGGCGGCATTCCCCTTGGTTTTGTGTTTACTCACCTGTTTAAGAGTGAGCTGTCTGAGCTGATAGTCTAAAAGGCCATGAGATTTCTGTACTTTCTGGTTCTCATTTTTGTTGCCCCTCCATATCAATAGTTTTGGGGAAAATACAATTTATAACAGTTAACTCAAGTAGGATAATGCCATTAGCTCTTATCCTTAGAAGGCAAACAAAATTGCTTGACTTGAATAAAAGCTAACGTAAAAACAGTAGTCTTTTAACTCAGCTAGTGTGGCATCCACTTGGGCTGGGAAAACAGTTTGAGCTGATGCAGAAATTGTCTCCAGCCTTTTCTCAAAGGAACTGGTCTCCACCCTGCTATTACAGTTTATGGGAAAATATTTAAGTGACAAGGGTCCCAAAGAGATACCATATATATATAATTTTATTGATTTTTTACAGAGAGGAAGGGAGAGGGATAGAGAGTTAGAAACATCGATGAGAGAGAAACATCGATCAGCTGCCTCCTGCACGCCCCCTACTGGGGATGTGCCTGCAACCAAGGTACATGCCCTTGACTAGAATTGAACCTGGAACCCTTGAGTCCGCAGACCGACGCTCTATCCACTGAGCCAAACCGGTTAGGACAATATACTTAATATATTTGATGTATGGCTATTTATAATTAAATAATAGGGAAAACTGACTATGAGGCCAGGCACTGGAGTCACACTTTACATCTGTTAATTTATTAAATCCTGACATTCTTTCCATTTTATAAATGAGGAAGTTGAGCTATAGATGGATTAGGTAACTTGCCCAAGCTACACAGCCAGTTAGAGAGCTGAGGTTCAAATCCTGTCTGGCTCTAGGTTAAGTCAGCTTATCTCAGAGTTAGCATAGCATGGTGTAAACCTTTTCATGACCTACTCTAAGAAATAATTTTACATTGTGACCTGAGATATAAATTACATATATATGTATACAATTCCAAAGTTTTATGAAACAGTACTTACCTGTGATGCACTCTGATGTTTTCTCTTATTGTACATTAAAAAATGATGGTTCAGAGACTGATTTTACTACTCACCAATGGGTTTCAACCTGCAGCTTGAAAAACTGGCATAGAGCATAAGAACTCAGGCTTTGCAGTCAAGCTTGTGGGCTGACACAACTCTACCATTACTAGCTGTGAGTTTGGGCAGAGTACTTCTTTGATCTATGCTACAGTTTCCTCATTTGTACATGAGTTAACTAGATTAAACGGGTTAGCATGTAAAGCCCTTAGAATTGTGTCTGGCATGAAGGAAATACTCTCTTAATGGAAGTAACTGTTACTTCTAGACCACTGAGTCTAAGGTAATTTTATAGTGACCCCTGCGTACCAGTTTGCCGTCTATAGGAAAGCCTCCATATGAAGATAGATTCAGCTGTAACCAGACATCCCAACAGATGTGGTGCCACCCCTCCCTTCCGCCTAGGACGACAGGCATTTAGGACTCTCCCTGATTAGGAGTTAAAGGGACATTCTAAGTAAGTTTTAGGGCGTGCCTGGTAGGTGGAGAGATGGACCTTCATAAATGGAAAGGTAGGTGGTGAAGGAATTATTGATGACAACAGAAGATCAGGTGTCACATTTTACACAGATTTGTTCCTGTGGAACCTTGAGTGAAAATACAATGGGATATCTAGTCAAGTTAGAGACGGGAGGTATTGTGTGAGGAACACCTGCTGTATGCATGATACAGGGAGGTAGAGTCATCGTGGTTCCACTTGCCACTAGAACTCTTCTGTAAAGGTCCATCTGGTTCCCTGCTGCCACCTCTCATCAGGAGGGTCATGGGAACAGTGAGAGAAAGGAAGAGGGCTGCTTGACCTGCCTCAGCAGCTGGGCCTTTGCCTTTTGTCACCTATACAAGCAGTGGCTTGCCTGATTAATGAAGCAGTGTGCCTGTACAACATCCATTTCTAGCCATACACACCGTTTCTGTCCACATTTCATTATAGGCATCATGACCACAACACAGTAATATTAAAGAGTACTGACGAGTCCTGGCTGTGTGAGCCTAGGCAAGTCATTCTTATTCAGGGCTCCATATTCAGTAACTGAGATGAGACCTGGACCAGATTATCTTTAAGAACTTTCTGTTCTGGTATTTTATGCATCTAGGAGTTTATGCATCTAGGAGAAGTATCTAACCCAGACAGTAGGTCCAATTATCACAGCTTCTCATAAAATTTCAGATTAGTGTGATAGGGTTCTCTATCACAATAATTAAAGTATTCATGATTCTGGGCTAAATTTTAAGGAAAACCTCTTATGGAATAATACATTCTTTAGAAATAAGGCCAGGATTGCTATAATCATGTATGAAGGTTATTTAGAAAATGTGTTTCAAAGATGTTTATATTCACAGAGTTACATTTTTCAGATGATAAAACTGCAATTCAGAGAAAATACTTCAAGTCTGGGCAGCATTCTATGATTAGAGGGGAATGAGGACCAGAAACCTCAACTACTAGTATGTGCCATCTGGAAGACTTTTCTGTTCCTTCATATTGTTCTCATTCTGTTTCCAGATGAAGTTGATGATGTTTCAAAATTGTTCACTTCTGGAAACTTTGCTCAGTACTTTGACAGTTTGAAGATACTCAAAGTATCTTTCAAACTCCAGACATTGAAATCAAATGCACAAAATCAACTCAGGTAGCCAGCATAAAAAGAAGTATAAAAACCATTGTGGGCGTACTTTCAAATTTAGATGTTTGCACATGTGTACATTCTGTGTGCCAAAAAAGTTTGAAACTCATAAACACAGACGACAGTGTGGTGAAGGCCCGAGGGAGCAGAGAGGGGGCAATGGGGGGAAAAAGAGGACACCTGTAAACAATAAAGATAAATTTTTTAAAAAGTTTGAAAACTTCAGACTCCTTCAACGACTGAATTAGAGCATGTATTTCAACTGAGCCCTTGGAGGAGAAATCAGGTTGCAGAATTAAAGTACTTGTTGGTCATCACTATAACAGTGTAGCCAGCACGATGTAGCAGGCATCCATCTTGACAATTTAAAACTATCCTAAGTGTAACTTCTACCCACCAAGCAGTAATCAGCATTGTATGTGTGAAACAAAATGTACACTTCTGAGGTCCTCCATTGCCTGCAAGAACTGTCAAAATCCCGACTACTTCTGTTATTGAATGTGATAATGCTAGAAAAATAATGTTGATAAAGAATTCTCCATGCAGTCAATCTTTATTATAGCAGTATTCGCATATTCACATCAAGTACATAGAACTTTTTTTGCCTTTTATATAATACAGAGTTTTTAAATAACTTTACACAGAAATAAATTTCTTCAATCTGAGTTTCAGCTATCTTTATTTAATTCTTCATGCTTTCTATCCAAACTGAACAATATTTTCCATTGTACAAATTTACATGAGAAAAATTCCAAAGTACAAATGAAGGGACCTGAGCAGGAAAGGGAACCAAAGTATCAAGAAGTGGGGTTGGGGGAGAATTGAAGAAAAAAAAAAAAGATTCAAGCACTGAGGAGTAAGGGTCAAGAGGGAGACGACATCCATTTGACTGAAAATAAATGTCTTTTTTTATGAATTGAAAAATAAGTTTTAAAAATAGTTACTCCATAATTTTTGCAAAGCAGGTAGAGAGAGGTCTGTGGACAATTAAAAAGCCCCCATCTTCCCAGACTCCATGAGAACCTTCTGAGTGTTTGGAACGGAAGTGAACTAAACCTGAACCTTTGGCAGCGAGAGAGGAATGCGTATGAGAGCTGCCGCACGGTTTGGG